TCTCATTATCTCATGACACGTTGATCTATGGGCTCAAAGTGTAACACTTTGTCGTACTTTTTTTTTTCTCTGAATGGAAGCATGGACAAGCGTTGAACGTGCACACACACACACATGCGCATACTGATATAGTTCGGTGAAAAGAGGCTGGCTCGTTGAGCAAGGCGAGCAATACACGTTGGCTCTAATATAATGAGGTCACGAGTCTGGTTACGAATACTGAGTGCAATCAGTAATCTGATATTTATGGGTCAGCTTAAAAAGGCAAGACAAACTCTTCTATCAATATTCCTCGATTGATATAATTATTCCGAGGCCATGTGGAAAGGATACACTCTCCAGTTCTCTCCTCACGGAAAGAGAAATGTTAGTATCAGTCTAATCTAGAGTTGCCCTTAATTGGACATCCAAGTTCTAGTGCGTCTTTGAATCTGTAGCAGCTCGTAACCTTCATTAACACGTTTTTACCGAAGTATGCTCCCCTCTCATTGGCAAGATTTTGAAAAGTTCAATCACTAATGGATTTTTCACACTACATGACTTTAGCCCCCGATTTTCCACTTGATGACAGTTTTTGGATCTCCCCGACAAAAGACCCAGATCACAAGCAAACCGGCGTCGACTCTGTGCTCGCAAATCTGCTCTCCAGCGCCCGACACAGATATCTAGCATGCTAAATAACCCAGACCTGTCGTGGGGAGTCTGTCAGGGAGCTACACCCAATGAGAGGGCCAGACTCAGGTTGAGGGGAAACCTGAGCAGAGGTGTGTGTGTGTGTGCTGTGTGTTGCATTTGCAACATGGACCTAAATTGACGTTGCTGCGCCTAGGGTTTGGATGTTTGCATGAACAAACAGTGACACAGTGACTGATCTACATAGTGGAAATAGCAAACATCAGCAAGCATGACTTACGACTGTGACGTAGTTTGGAGATCTGGGATTATTCATGGTGAAAGATCTTGTAGTGTGTGACCCCCTGTCATCAAAACGTTGGTTGAGAATTTCAAAACATCACCAGAACTGTAGCAGTTACACCAGATATTACGAGGATTGCGGATCATTACTATATAGATCATGCAGAGAGGTAGAGCTGCATGTATTGGCATAGATTTAATGCTCGAAAGATTGATTTTGGGTACAGTATCACATTAGTGCCAACCATGTGATATCTAAAGGTATGTGGCTGTGAAAGTATTTACTAATTACTGTCTTGTTTAGCTTTATTTACTGACTAGTAGCATAATTAGGTCTGTAATTATAGCAGGACATTAGACAGCCAACTCAAGGGCCTTTTGTTGATTATTGAGACGGTATAGAGATGTTTCGAAATGGACTGTCTTCAGACACTAATACTGTATATATTGCTTTCTAGTTTATGTGGCACAAATGACCAATTACCGAGTGCTTGAATCCACATTGTTAAATGCAGTATTATCATTCAAGTAGTCTTACAGATTGCAGCCACGTAATAAGCCAATGTTGATGCGAGTGTGTGCATGCACAGTTGTTTGTGTTTATGACAATAAGCCATATGGCAATAAGCATATTAAAGTTAACTGCGTTCGTATTGGATGGTTAAAAGTTTCCGGCTGGTTACACCTTTGTGCTTTGCTGCACCTGTAACCACACCCAACAGTGATGTCATGGGGTCCTTGAGCCCAGTGGAGGTTAACCATCAAAACAGTCTCTCTTTGTGTCTGAAGGATACAGAAGCACTGGTTGTTTTAGCTACAAAGCTAGTAAAACATACCTCAATTCTCCACGTCTTAGAAGGAGATAAACTGATGCAGCAACATGACATAATGGAGATCGGATGCCACAAGAAAGTCTCAAATAAAAGAGGCTTCATTCCCAAAAATACATTCGTCAAACATCTTGCTTGCAGTGAATACAATAACTTCACCCTCGGAGGGATAAAAGACGGGCAAATATGTTTAAATGCTTTAATCTACACAGTGCACAATTCAATTGTTTGAGCCTATAGCTTAAACGGTTGATCTGTACTATTTAAATTGGTGCCGGGCTTAGATTAAAGTGCTGGAACATATCCGAGTGTCGACATCCATGAACTCTTTGTTGAATGTTAAATCTACATTCATCGAATGTGGCGGCGGTGGCACTGAGATTAGTGACAAGAGAAGTAAATTGACTCCCAATTGGATCCATCAAGGCAGTTCGCCAGTTAGTTAATTGCATTAGCTTCACCTTGCTGCACTTCTCTATTGGTTTTTGTTTCCACCAGACGCAGCGGTTGGTCCAGCAAAGCATTCCTCTCAACCCTGCTTCACAGAGGGTTTTGACTGGGCTTATAGCAGCATCAATCACATTACTGAGGCTGCTACTAGAGTAACACCCAGGGCACAACAAGACGTTTCAACATCTCGAAAACTTATAGGCCTCAGTGGTATTGTTTGACATGTATCAGCCTCACACCATTAAAATGTTGTGGTTTGAAATGTGTTTTAGAGAGAAGAAGAATGGCAATGTGCTACATTTTACAATCGGAATAAAAAACAAGAGATTCATGTGAGGTCATTTTACACCATACAGTTTGTTGGTCACTGATAGGAAATAAAGACAATCAAATATAGATTTGGCTGTGGTGTTAGAAAACTATAGGTGTGGCCAGAATTTCATAAGTTCTCCCTTCTCTTAGCGACTACTGAGGTGTGAATGTGTGTTGTTGTTGGCCAAGAGGTGCAAGTATTCCCTGGAGAAACAAAGGTTACTGCGATTTGTGCAGCTGGTTTTATAATGAAAACTTAATTAAAGGGCGTGATACACAAAACAACATGCTGGACAACTCTAATGAGCAGCAAGTTGTTTATTCATGCCTGGTGCTTGGACACGACTTAAGGGGTTGTTGATCCGCAGCCTCAGTCTGCTGCCTTAAGCAGGTAGTGTTTGCCGTGTGCATCGGGCTCAAAGCACGGCCCGTAAATTTCATGAGCCTGCGCTCATGAAATCAATACTGTATTGCCTCAGTATGACCAGCTACTGAAGTTCCAGCCAGTAATGTGTGCCCACAAAATCTGTGGACGGGCTTCGAAGGAGTTGAGCTTCGGTTTAGAACAATGTGGCTTCACTAGGCACCGGGAGTGCAAACAGGAATGGCAAGCATGGTGCTGCAGCAGAATAAGTGCTGTGTTAACCCCGTGCAGGATTGAACATCAGGGTGACAGAGACAGTAATGTGAGTGTGTGTGGCTGAATAAAAGCTCTTCATTGAGAGAGAGAGAGAGAGAGAGAGAGAAAGTTGTTCTTTCCTCTGCTAGTTCTATCGCTCTATCCCTCTTTCTTGTTTTTGTGTTCCACATACACACATTCATTTTCTGTCTGCCTTCCTTCCCTCCACATACACACACGTGGCCTTGTCATATTTACTGAACAGCTCTGTTATCCAGGTATTGAGAGGCGATGATTAGTCAAAATCGGTGATCAGCTGACACACTTCCCACTGTGGCTCTCACACATACACCAGTCACCGCCAACAACAAACACGAATACAGACATGCATACAAAATGATCCAACAGCCGTCTATAACTGTGGATTGGATTTCATTCTCAGGACCCCATTAAGTCCTTATGGATTCTCATATTGATTAAGGAGCCTCTGGTATTGTTAATTCAACTCAGCCCAGACGGGTTTTTATTCAGTTGGTGTTGCCTGAAGGTGACTGCTACTTGTAAGAAATGGGTGAATAAAGCCTCAGCAAAGGCAGTGAGGGGGGAGAGACAGTAGAGAGAAGGGCAGAAAGAGGCAATATGAGAGAAAATGACACACAGAGGGACTGGAGAGGGGAAGAAGTGAACAAGAGGGAGGAGGAGAATAAGGCAGAAATAGGAAGTAGGGATAGAAACACAAGCAACAACAAACATATATTCAGAAAAGGAAGGAGTTGAAGCAATATGAGGAGAAAAAGGGAAATAATGAATTTACAATGTTTGGACTTCATATGCAGTTCCACTCCTTGAACTTTTTTCATGAAAAATAGAAATGAATGTCGCAATCAATTACTTATTTCCACCCTAATGCATCATTCTTTTTTTCATTAGCTCATCGTGCTAATGAGTCGTTGCATAAAACCCTCTCAATAAATTGCAACTAGGAGGTTATTCGCGTGTGTGTCTGTGTGCGTGTATTTGTCAGATAGAGGGCATGGGTTTATGAGTATATGCATGCATGTTCACTGTGCATGCCCACAAGCATACATTTGTTTCATCGCCAATTGATGAGCTTAAACATGATTCTGCAGTAATTAATTAGGCTGCAGTAATGAGATAAAAAAAACAGCAACACAGGAGGAACACACGAGAGAGCATTTAAATGTTGCATGTAACAAAAAAAACATTACAATTCCGGTTAATTGTGTAGAATTGAACTGCAGTATACAAATAGCCCTCAACATATTGTCACGCTACATGAGTCAGAAAGAGGATGAAGAATATTTTGTCTTCTCTGAGCACTCTCTCTCTTACAAGGCAATGCCATTATCAGCGGTTCATAAGATGTAAAGAACGTGTTGTTCTCTTTTCTGCAACTTTGCTACCAGGGTGAGAATGGACTGAGAGGCGTTATTTGTCATTGTCAGGCTGAGTGCCCTGCTACCTGTCCTGATGCTCAACCTGTATTGCACAAGTACTTTTTCCTGTTTCATTTCCCTTTTCCTCCCTTTTAACCCTTTAAAGTTTGTTGTCGCTTCACCCCAATTTGACTTCCTTTCATCTCTTTTTTTGTTCATCTTTTTCACTTTCTCCTACTTTGGTCTCTATCTGTAATTGTTTGTCGATTGTTCACATTGCAGACATTTTTTATGCTGTACATGCTGCACAGTCCTGGAACACACACTGTAGCTGGACTGTGTTTGATGTCCTGGACAGAGTTCCCTGCCCTGATCGCAACTTAAATTCAAAAACGGCTCCCACAGCAATGACGCATGTCTTTTTATTTCACTTATTTTCCCTTCCAACCACTCTCTCTCTCTCCTTCTTCCCGACAGGCTTAGAAAAAGTTGGTCGTGATTCCAGTTATGAGCAAGAGGGGAAGGTTCAGTTCGTGATGGATGCGGTGTACGCCATGGCCCATGCTCTGCATCGCATGCACCGGGAGCTCTGCTACGGATACCCGGGCCTCTGCCCGCGCATGGCTGGCAGCATCGACGGCAAAGAGCTGCTCAGCTACATTCGTGCTGTCAACTTCAACGGTGAGTTATACCCCTGGAGACATATGCAGACATGCATGCATACTCACGCAGACTCACACACAGCTAGCAGAACATTTTACAAAGCAAAAATTGACTCTTGCCACGTTAGCAATAATTAGGCTGTGTTACGCCTTCAGTTAAAAAAGGACAAATTACAGCCGTCAAATGCTGAGACATTGCTCAGTCGTCCTGTAATCTTTATCCACCTTGAGTTGACTGATTCAGCTCAAACTTTTAACAAGCTAAGCCCAATTCTGCCTCTAATTTGGCTTATCCTTATCATAAAAACATGCCGTATGGCATTCTTTTCTCTGTCAAAATTCATTAATCTCACTGCTTTCCCCCAGATGTATTATCGGCTTATATTTTTGCGTATGTGGTCTCGTATCACTTTGAACCTGTAGTGCTAAATATTTAATTTCCTTTCTCTCCATGATTTCCTCCAATGTCGACAAAATTAAGTGGGTGAAATACATTTATAATTCCGTTCTAAATAATATCAGACGCCTCATTTGAATATTCTCTTATTAATCCATTTTTCTCCCCGATGTGCCGGTACCTGCTTTTCTGTCTCCTTTTCATTTCCTGTGTTATTCTGTCAAGGACTGTGCGGAATACATATGGGTTCGGGAGAATGAAAGCAAGGGAGTCTCATTGTGAGATTACAGGAATGCTTTAGTCTGATTTAGTTTTAGAGGCACAATTGAAATTGCATGAATGTGTTAGTGGCAGGAATGTCAGCAAAATATGTGTCGGTGCTTGTTGTTACCTGGTGCTATCTCTGTCTGTCATCGCCAGGAGTATCGAAAACCAATTCACAGACAGGCATTGATTGCATGTTTCATACTGCAACAGCAGGTTTGTGCTCAGGTGTGTTCTCTATATAGCTGGCCTAGAGGGTAGAGAAATCCCCCCATAACCACAAGGTCAACAACTTTACACCCCTATGAATCACTAAAACCTTCTCTGTTACTGAAAGTTGCCCTACCGCAACTGTCTCAGGCAGTATTTTGAGAGAACATAAAAAAACTAGATTAGATTGAGCGAAAACGATAGGTTTGATGCTGAAGTCATCGAACAGGCACCTTGCATTATATATATGTTTCATATGCCTGTGACACCTTAAGATAGCTCTACAGAAAGTTCCAGATAGTCTGGGACAATAGGAAAGTTGTGAGTTGAATGCGGACACAGATGTGATGGACCTCATGTCATCAGGCAGCTTTTTCCAGAGGGCAGGAGCACAGGATTTTGAGGGTAATTTTGTATTGTACATGGAGCCAGTGACGTGATTTCAGTACTGGAGTAATGTGTTGAATATTCCATGTACGTGTAAAAAGTCTTGCTACTAAATTTTGAATTTTTGGGTAATCCTGCAAATAAAGCATAGCAGTAGTCTAACCTGCATGAGATAAATAAGAGTCATATGAATGCTCTAAGTTTTGATTCATTTTTTTTAAGTGGTAAAATGCTGTTCGGGTGATATTGGTAATGCAATTTTTAAAATTGAGGTCACTATCCGAAATAAGGCCATGGTTTCTAACTTGGTCACTGTATTTTAGAGACAGATGCCAAATGTAAATTATTTTCTTCTGACTTTTAGGACCAACTACAAGTGTCTCCGTTTTTTCTGTATTCAGCTGTAAAGAAAGTGTGTGGACATCCAGCAATTAATATCATTTATACAGTTGCAAACAGGACTGAGATCATCAGAGGAAAGGGAAATGTACAGCTGCATGTCATCAGCATATGAGTAGTATGATACTGTATATTGTGTTTCTTTATAACGCAAAGCAGAAGCATGTGCAGATTGAAGAACTGACCCTTGTGAAACCCCATGGAACATTTTTGTTTCTGCAGATTTAAAACTACGACGGGAACAAAAAAAGCTTGTGTCCTTTAAGTCGGACGGAAACCAGTTAAAAACAGAGGTCTTCTAAACCGTCTGTATCATGGAGCCGTTGAATTGAAATGTCACGATCGACCATGTCAAGGACAGCAGTAAGATCAAGCAATATTCAAATTGAAAATCTTTGAGTCCAATGTTTATCTTAAGCTCATTGATTACTCTAATAAGAGCTGTTTCTGTGCTGTGATTGGCTCAGAAACCAGTTTGGTATTCTATCTATTGTAAATTGAAAGATATTCATCCAGATGTTTGTATACAATTTATTTTAAAGTATTTTGCTCAGAAAATGAAGATTGTTCTGAAATTGAATCTAGATTGTTTTTCATTAACGGGAGGAGAGAAGCAAGGGATATGCTAGTCTACATGGAAACATTAATGATATCTTCAATGTATTTATAGTTTCATCCAGAACTTTTCTTTTTGTTCGTATCTTTGGCACCTTTTTCGCCATTGATTGAGTTTGCATGCCTGTTTAAATCAAGCAAATCGAAATGTCTAAAACATAAAAGATGCAAGAATGAAAAAGTTTAAAAGGCCTCTCTAACGGACAGATAAAGGGTTTGCTGGGTGGCTCTTTGTTGCAGTTACTCGCATCTGGTTTGTTTACATCGACAGCAGCCTGCAAGATTTAAAGCTTTTTAGCCCGGTGCTTTATTCGTGTTCATGTGTTAATGTCTGGATGTATTTGTGTGTTCCAATTAAAAGTAGTTTTGTTGTCGACCTGTTTAGGGTCGACATGACATTGATAACACTGAAGAAGAAAAGGGGCAAAGATGGAGGTATTTATATCTCTCTTTGTGTGTGTGTGTGTGTGTGGCACATAAAGAGAGAGGGAGAGAATAAGTTATAGTTTCTGGATCATGGATTCTCTTTATCTCTGCTCTTTCTGGATCCATAAAAGTACACCTTTCGAGTAGCTACATAAAGAGAACAGGACTGAGTGAGAGGGAGAGGATCATTTCAGGTCATTAGGGCAATGATTTTTTTTCCTGTTGGGTTCAAGACAACTTAACTTACAAAGTGAAACCTACCAGGCAAGAGTGACAAGAACGGGAAGGGAGGTGCAGGAAAGCAATATGGACATTTGGCAAGTGACTACCAAGTAATTAGGCAGTGATTATTAGGAGGTGCTTAACCCTTTGGAATTTCAAGATGGACATCCCCTCGAACAAGATTGGTATCCCTAAGACGTCCTCCTCTTCATGTAATATGGTTAACAGTCATAGTTATAGCTCACTAATTTTGATAAATCGTGAAAATTCAAAAAGTTGGCATATTGTGCAGAGGTATCATTCAGCATTCAATCATTTATGCGAACAGTGATGCATGCACATGAAGCTGCGTTTTCCCCATTTCCGTTAGAAAATTGTACAAGGCAAAATATGCAATGAAAAAACATATTTGAATATTAAATATCGAAAAAAATATATCTTCATACAGTGAGTTTTCAAAATAATATCTTACCTTAAAAAAAAAAACGGAGGCTGGTGCATTACAGAGCAAGTACGACTAACAATGAGGAAATGAACCCTGGAGCAGCAATGGCACACGGTGCGGTCCAGCTTTTGTATGTCGAGTGAGTTTATTGCGTTATCCAACGCAACACACACACACAAGCGGGCACATCAAAAGTATGCAGAAACTAATGCGCACACACCAATGCCTTCATGAGTTATGGAATCCAAATCTAAGGCTACATTAGAGCAACGGAAACGAAGGAGTTGAGAAGCGCTACCGAAGAAAGGTAAGTTTGAGAACTCCGGGGTTACCTCGTAGTGTGGACAGCGGAAACGTAGACCTTTTGAAAACAATGACGTAGACACCCCAGCTTCGCTAATTAATTTGGTCTCAGCAGTCACGACTTGTCCTTCTCTGATTGACAATTTCATCAATGTGTGTGTTTGTGTTGTTCGTAACAAGTGTATGATTTGATGGAATATACTTTTGTAGTTTGGAATGGTAGCTCAGTCTGGTTCAGACGCTTTTATTGTCTAACCAACACACACACACACACACACACACACACACACGTTGCGGTCGCCCACACGGTTTAACTCGGCCTATTCACATACCCCTGGCTTTGTTGGTCGTTAGTACATCCCAAAGTAGCTTTTCAAACACAGCCGTTGCTAATGTTTATTGCCCCATCACTCTTTTACTCTCTTGTTGCTGTGCTATCCTTTTCGTGTTTCTTTCTTTCTTGTCTCTGTCCTTCACTCGCTGCCTCCTTTTGCTGCATCGTCCTCTCTATTGTCTGACTTTCACCATCCCTCTCTTCCCTCGTCTTCTTAGCTTCCTGTCAGGCTCAGTCTGCTCTCGTGTTCTTTTCCTCTCTCCTACCACTCCTACTCCATAAATGCATTGACTCATCACTTCATTTAATAAGCCTTTTTCAAATTATTTTCAGTTTACCCTTTTTTTAAGGATTGTCACATTTTTGTGGTGTATGCATTTCTTGTAGAGTTGAGTGTAATGTATCTATTTTTCCGAAACCACTTTTTGCATTTTAGATCCCTACGCATATTTCAGTGTCGGACAGACACCTTGCTCGGACACGTTTACAATTAGTTGTCATGATTTGGTCATTTGATCTGAAGTTAAAGTCCCACGAAATACAAGTCCCATTTGTAAGTCCTAAGAAATCAAAGACCACTTCTTACTTCCTTGCCTGCTCTTTAGTGTAGTGCGATGTCAGCTGATGGAATTGCACACAAGGGTACCGTTTGTGATCTTGATTTCCCTTTATGATTGTAATATCGTGTGTAACGTTTTGGATGGGTTGGTAAGCAAAGTCAGAACAGGAGAGCTTTGTCCTCCACACAAGTGTGTGTGTGTGTGTGTGTGTGTGTGTGTGTGTGTATGTGTTTTCATGCAATTAAATACTCTGATTGTGAGGTTATCACTGCCAGGTTGTATCTCCTCCTGGGAGACAAGATGGACTTCACCATGGGAACCGTCTTGCACTAATTAGAGGGGAGATGATGAACTCTGTACCTGCCTGCACAACCTCAGGGAAAAAGAGAAGTAGGGGATGATGAACTCATAATGACCTCAGAGAGACACACAGGGAGACGGCACTAGAGGAGTAACT